GAGGATTTTGGGGAATCAAATTTATTTTCTTACTCCGTAACTGATAAACTGACTAAAACGGTACACGCTTTTTCGCCCAAACTGTTCCGAATTGAAAACAAATTGTATTTTTGGAATCAGACTGTCAAAACTAGAATTTTGACGTAATCAAAATATTTTTCTGAGAACTTTTATTTTTCTCAGTGTCCGGGTCTGTCTCAGTCATAATTTAATATAATAATATGAATGAGATAAAAATATATGAATTAAATCCAAATGATAAATATGATATTGTCAAGTGTCAAAATTATGATTTCTAATCTGATGAAATCACTTTTGAATTTAGTTTATTTTATGGGTCAAAGTTACAAATTTTACTATTTAAAATTGACATAACTTGAAATCTACAAATCAGATTGGTTTATAAAATGTACCGTTGGATTCGTCTCTTCGAGACATATCCATAAATATAACTTTTTAACAAAAAGTCATTATTTTGAAAATCCATTTATTTTTAGTCAAACGTACAAATATTCTTTATTGGATAAAAACTACTATTGTTTTATAATAAATTTTAGGCCATATCTTGTGGCGTTACAATAGTTCCTTTTAATGTTTAGGAAAGGAATAACATCCCATTCATATTCCACTTAGGTAATTTCACAATACCACTTTAAGGAAGCTTCCAATTTATTTTGTCAACTATAATCATCATATAATTAATACAAAATAAATAATATCACATTTAATATACATACACACACACACACACACACACACACACACACACAGATATATATATATAATACACGCACATCTATATATATAAATATAATAATGTTATATTTTGTTCCTTAAATAATATTTGACAAACTTAATTATCATATCATATAATTAAAATGTCGAAATATCAAATATATGTTAAAAATAAAGATAATAGAAATTGGCGTTCCCTCAAACATTATCCAGATAACGTGACTAAAATAGTTAGTTTAACAAAGTTGATAATGTAACTACACCAAAATACTACTGCACCTTAAGCACCACAATACCCATTATAGAGTCTAAAAGGAAAGAATACTTGGAATTTGTTCCAAAACGATTCCTTCCTTAATAACAAGTAATAAAAGGCATGTCTCATATAAAGACACTTTAACACTTGTTTTGGTCAAGTCTATCATGGATAAAAGAAGGGTTTCGAATGATCTATAACTAATCATAGCACTTATATGTCTAGGATAAAAGTCTTATTAAAGACTAGTGGGAGCACGATAAGTATGTTCCATGTCATTGACAAAATAAATTAAAAACTTATAAGTCATGAATGCAAATAGACGTTACGTGCTCAAGTATAAAAATCGATATAGATGGATCAAAGGACTAAGGATACTTTAAGTCCAGTACATACGTGGAAGATCCTTGCAAAAGGAAACTTGCATAAATCTCAAGGTTAAGCCTTTTAGAGACTCACTCTATAAAAAGGACCACATGGAAATCGTTCCATTGAGTACAATGAGATGTGTTAAAAAAACTTGATACATTCTAGAGTTATATATATATATATATATATATATATATATATATATATATATATATATATCTGTGTGCGTGTGTGTGTCCAAATTGAGCTAAGAGCAGTGATTAAATTTGTAAAGTTAACTTTTGATTTTTAAGAAGAGACAAAAGAGTACGGTTTTCTAAAGTGGCTTAAGTGTAAACGTTGCACCCAAAATAGCTCGTTTAGAACAACCATTAAGTAGGTTGAAATGAGCAAAAAAAATGTTATGAAGTCTTGACACAGTGTCATACGCATAGCTGTGAGACAAATTTGTAACTTTTAGAAGTAGCAAAAGGAAGATATTTTGATTCTGGTAGCTTCTCACAAAAGGATAGCGTTGCCCCCAGCATTAGAAATCAATATATCAGTGTACCGATAACAATAAGGTTGCTACAGGAGCTAAAGAAGCTACAGTCTCACCAAGAAACCAAAATATCATTAGATCTCACCACAGCATACGAAAAGTCGTAAAAGTGAAAGTATCAAAATTTGCAAGATAGGAAACAAACAAACAATCTCTAAACCTATTGACCTAGGTCTTGGGAAAACCTATACACGAGGGTCACACTTCGTACATGAGGCATACACGGAAACCATAATTGGACTTAATGCTAGTGGGAGATTGTTGAATATAAGTGATGTTGGCCTGGAATGCCATACCCCGTAACCGTTTTGATGTGCCAAATAAGTCTTCCAAATGCTACTAACATCATTTGCAGGAAGAAAACAAACGCCAAACCTCTAATAGCTTGTTTAGCATCACCGAGATATACTCCTAGGAGTTTAGAAATTGTTGTGTAAAGGTAACGATATATTTTAATGATATACTTATGCCCTTTCACTCAAAAATTTATTTCTAAAATGTCAAAAATATTCTTAGTTGGGGTTATTTTGAAAACGGAACACTAAAAACGAGTTTTGGAAAAATTGCACAGGTCAAACAGTACCTGGCTACCGGGGACACGGCACCAGGGTACCGCCGGTAGCCAAGTGAACGTACCGCTGTACGCTTCACTTTAGAAGTACTCGGTACTCCCCCTACTGTGTCACGGTACCTGGGTACCGACGGTAGGAAACGACGGTTGGCCCAACCCGTCCTAACTAGGTACCGCCAGAGGCGAAACCAATTTTTAACCTATACGGTACCCCCAAACGGTAGGCTGTACCGTGCTCACGGTACCTAGGTACCAGACGATACTGACCCTAGCGTGAAGGGTATCGGATCCGTTGTAATCACTGTAGCAAATTGCCAATTTAAATTCAAATCACCCTTAATCACTTCCTAACGGCATTTAAGGTTAAAAATTCATATTTTAACATTCCAAACTCCTATATAAACCCCCTCTAAGTCTCATTTTAATAACAACAACTTGCCAATTAAATCTAAAGTCACTTTCTCTATTCTTGAGTGTTCTAAAAGCTTTGTTCTTATTTTTCTTACTCTTTTGAGTATAAAGCTTTCATTATTTTTATACACTCACACACAAGGGCATTTGTAATTCATTATTCTATATCTTGCCTATAGGCTTTTGTTGTTATTGATTTAATCTTTTGTTCTTCTCCTACCCAACTCATATTTATTATTATTTTGGTAGAGAAGCAACATCAATCTTTTATTAATTTGTAAAAGGTGTGGATAGCCTTTAAATCCTCATTGTAAGGTTGAAGATGGCCTTAAAATCTTCGGTTGTAAACGGTTGAGATAGCCGTAGTAAAATCTCATTTGCTTATTGGCAAGGGTTGTTTGCCAAACCTCGTTTGAGTATTCTTAGGGAAGCCAAACAAGTTAGTGGAGGTTAAATCTTTGAGAAGGAGCCTCGAGGTACTGGAGCAGGGAGTTCCCGAACCAGTATAAAATCACTTGTGTCGTATTTTTATCTTTTATACTTTTCTTGCTCTTTTTCCGCTACAACTTTGCGCATAAGTTTTTGTTTTTACGAAAAACTTGCAAACACCCTAATTCACCCCCCTCTTAGGGTGTAAACCGACTTTCAATTGGTATCGGAGCAGGAAGTTTGATCCTTTCACACTCATCTCTTAATTCTTTTTACGACACATGGATTCAATGAACTCCCAAAGCATTACCAAGCCACCATTCTTCAATGGGGATAACTATGGCTATTGGAAAATGCGAATGGAGAATTTCATTCAATATATTGACTATGATTTATGGATAGTCACTATTCATGGTCGTTTGTTACTACTCCAATGGACAAACTCACCATCGACGACAAGAAAAAACTCTCCTTGAATGCCAAAGCATTAAACATGTTGTTTTGTGCCTTGGGTCAAGATGAGTTTGCTAGGGTGAGCTCTTGCAAATCCGCAAAGGAAGCATGGAAGCTTCTAGAAGCCACCCATGAAGGAGATAAAGATACAAAAGCTACCAAGATAGCTTTAGGAACATCCGAGTATGAAAATTTCAAGATGAAGGCCGGAGAATCCGTTCAAGATATGAACAAACGATTCAACCTCATTGTCAACAGTTTGAGTAAGCTAAATAAAGTTTATCCTACGAGTGAGATTAACACCAAGATTATATTCTCTCTTTCTAGAGAGTGGCATAGTCTTGTTGTAAATTTGTTGCCCAAATGTGCGGCTGTTGAAACCTCCACCATTTGGAGCAACCTATACTCTGATGAGCTTCTTTTGAAGAAAATGAAGGAAGAAGAACAGGTTCCTATCATCAAGAAGACCATGGCACTCAAAATTGATGACCATCCGGAGAGCGAAGGAGAAAGTGATGAGGAGCTTGCCATGTTCAAGAGATACAAAAAGTTTATGAAATGGAACAAGGTCGAATCGTCAAAGAGATTTCCACCAAAGAAAGGTAAATCAAATCAAATAACTTGTTATGAATGTGGAAATGTAGGTCATATCAAACCGGAGTGCCCAAAGCTCAAAAAGAAGGAAGAGCTTAAAAAGGTGAAGAAGAAGGCATTGAAGGTCCCTTGGGATGATTTAAACTCGGATGAAAGTGATAGTGATCAAAGCCAAGAAGAAAACGTGAATGCTTGCTTCATGACTTCAAACGATGAGGAAGAGGTTAGTTCCCAAAATTCATTTACTTCTTTTGAAAGTCAAATTACTTTTGATGAGTTAAGGCAAGCATCTGATGAATGCCAAGAGGACCTTTTTCGAACCATTAGGGAGAAAAAGGAACTCAAAGTGGCTCTTGAAACTTCTTGGGATGAAAACAAAAATTTAAAACTTAATCTTGAGAAACTTCAAAACCAAAATGAAGAATTTCAAAAGAAAATTGAAACTTTGATTAAAGAAAAAGACAAGGCCAAGCGAGGGGCTTTGGAAATGTTTTATGATAGCTATAGCTCAATGAAGATGTGGGATGACCAACCAAAACTAACAAAAGAAGGCATTGGTTATGGTCAATCCATAAACTTGATGAGCTTGGCTAAAAATCATTTTAATACCTCAAAAACAAATTCATCAAATCAAGCCTCAACTTCTAAATCAAAAGTAAAGGCTTGCCACTATTGCATGCAAGCTAACCATATTGTGACAAAGTGTCCAAACAAATGGTTAGTTGAAATGCGTAAATTAAAATGGGTCAAGAAGGTTTCTAACCGGTCAGAATCCAAGAATATTGGATATCAAAAGAAAGCCTTTTTGCAGGAAAATAAAAGAAATGATGGTGGATACTATTTCTTTTATTGTGACGAAAAACGAAAAGTCCATATCCCACTTCCAGAACCTACCAAGACGAAACCCGTATATCGACATAGGGTATTCGCCGATTAGAACCCCAAACCTAAGTCAAAAGTAAATTCCGTTTTGACTAGGTGAAAAATACCACTTGGGTCGTGGATAGTGGATGTTCGAGGCACATGACCGGAACAAGAGGATGGTTCACACACCTCAAGGAAAAAAGTCATGGACATGTGACCCTTGGAGACAAATCCCGGAAGAAAGTCATCGGTAAAGGTACGATAGGTATTTCAAGTGATTTTTCAATAAATCATGTTTATCTTGTTGATGGCCTAAAATTTAATTTAATTAGCATAAGCCAACTTTGTGACAATGGCCACAAAATTGAGTTTAATGCAAATTCTTGCGTTTTATATGGCCAAAATAAAGATGAAATCATTTTTGAGGCTAAAAGAGATGTAAACTTATACAAGTTCAATTCCAATGACTTAAGCAACTCATAAATCACTTGTCTTACTACTTCACTTGAATTTTCAACATTTTGGCATCGTAGATTAGGACATGCTAGTTATGATCTTTTGAGAAAACTTTACTCAAAAGAACTTGTTGTTGGGCTACCAAAAATGAGCATACCTACTTCTCGTTTTTGTGATGCTTGCTCCCTTGGAAAACAACATAAAGTTTCATTTAAGCCCATAAAAATGGTTTTAACGTCAAGGCCACTTGAACTATTACATATGGATTTATTTGGGCCCGTAGACGTTCAAAGCCTAGGTGGAGCTAGTTTTACGTTTGTAACTGTAGATGATTTTTCTCGCTATACTTGGACTATATTACTTGCCAATAAAGATGATGCGCTTAATGCGTTTGTTAAGTTGTGCAAGAGAATCCAAAATGAGAAAGTTTATGAAATAACCTCTATTAAAAGTGATAGAGGTGGAGAATACCGGAATACCGATTTTGAAACATATTGTGATGAACACGGTATTTCTCACAACTTTTCGACTCCTAGAACACCTCAACAAAATGGAGTCGTTGAAAGGAAAAATAGGACGCTACAAGAAATTTCAAGGACCATGTTGAATGAACACAACTTACCTCAATATTTTTGGGGAGAAGTGGTCAACACGGCATGCTACGTTCTTAACTGGGTATTACTTATACCTATTATTAAAAAGACTCCATATGAACTTTGGAAAGGTAGAAAACCAAACATTTCCTATTTTAAAGTTTTTGGGTGCAAATGCTATATTTTGAATACCAAGGATCATTTAGGCAAATTTGAGCCAAATCAAATGAAGGAATTTTCCTTGGTTATTCAACAAAAATAAATCAAATCATAAAGTAGAAAAATCTATGCATGTGAAATTTGATGAAACCGATCCCTTTGGGTCGAGTAAGGTAATTGCAGGTTCAAATGAAGAAGAAGAGGAAGAAGAAATCCTGGAAATTCCTGCACAAGAAGAAGAAAATGAAAAGAAGAAACTACCAAAGGCTTACAAACACTTGAAGAATCATCCGAGAGACAATATCATTGGAGATATTGAAAAGGGAGTTAGAACTAGGAACAATTACAATCTTTGTGCACACTATGCGTTCGTTAGTCAATTTGAACCTAAGAATGTAGAAGATGCACTAAAAGATAGTGATTGGATTATATCCATGCAACTAGAGCTTGAGCAATTTGAACACAACAAGGTTTGGGAACTAGTCGAAAGACCGGAAAACCGACCCGTTGTGGGCACTAAATGGGTCTTTAGAAACAAGCTTGATGAAAATGGTGTTATTATCACTAATAAAAGTCGACTTGTTGCTAAAGGCTATAGCTAAGTTGAAGGACTTGACTATGATGAAACTTTTGCTCCGGTTGCTAGGCTTGAATCTATTCGAATGTTATTAGCTTTTGCAAGTGCTCTTAATTTCAAACTTTTTCAAATGGATGTAAAAAGTGCTTTTCTAAATGGGTGGTTAAAAGAAGAAGTTTATGTTGAACAACCTTCCGGTTTTGAAAATCCTGATTTTCCAAATCATGTTTTTAAACTTCATAAGTCCCTTTATGGACTCAAACAAGCTCCTAGAGCTTGGTATGAGGGGCTTACCGAACATCTCATCTCACATGGATTTGCAAAAGGAAAGATCGATTCCACACTTTTTGTCAAAACAAAAGGAAAAGATCTCATAATTGTGCAAATTTATGTTGATGATATTATTTTTAGGTCAACTAATGAAGCCTTATGTAATGAATTTTTAGGAATTATGAGAAGCGAATTTGAAATGAGTATGATGGGTGAGTTGAACTTCTTCCTTGGACTTCAAATCAAGAAACTTGGAGATGGTATTTTCATTAGTCAAACCAAGTATGCTAAAGAATTGGTCAAGAAGTTCAACCTTGAAGACTCAAAGACATACCCAACTCCAATGAGCACATCCTTAAAGCTTGACAACGACGAAAGTGGAAAACCCGTAAATGAAAAGGTATATCGAGGTATGATTGGTAGTTTACTTTATTTAACTGCATCTAGACCCGACATCATGTTTTCCGTTTGCCTTTGTGCTCGTTTCCAATCATCACCTAAAGAATCACATCTAAATGCCGTCAAGCGAATAATTCGTTATGTCAAGAGAACGACCAATATGGGTTTATGGTATCCTAAGAATACGAATTTAAGTTTGATAGGTTTTAGTGATGCCGACTTTGGAGGGTGTCGTATTGATCGGAAAAGCACAAGTGGCACAGGTCAATTCATAGGTCATGCACTAGTGTCTTGGTCATCTAAGAAACAACACTCCGTCGCCCTATCCACCGCCGAAGCGGAATATGTGGCTATGGGTAGTTGTGTTGCTCAAATTTTATGGATGATGCAAACACTTAGTGACTTCAATTTAATATTTTCAAAAGTGTATATTTTTTGTGATAACTCAAGTGCAATAAGTATTTCCAAAAATCCCGTGTTGCATTCTAGAACTAAACATATAGAAATAAGACATCATTTCATACGTGATCATGTTGCAAAGGGAGACATTCAAATTGAATATGTAAATACACTTGAACAACATGCTGACATTTTTACAAAACCATTGGATGATAAATTTAAGGTTCTTATTATCCCATTACATCATCAAAATAAATTGATCAAGTTCAAATGGTCAAAACACGCGTCTAGAGGTCAAAACAAAACATTACGCAGAGGCACGGTACCCCTGACGGTACCCTGGTCCCGTCCTAACGCAGATATCGACAGTGGCAACGGGATTTTGGACCATACACGGTAGCTGGACACGGTACACCATACTGTATATACGGTACCAAGGTACCATTCACACGGTACCAAGGTACTGACCGTCAAGACAGGTCAAATCTGTTTTAAAAACCCTAGTTTTTTACCATTCCTCTCACTCTCGTTTATTTCGACCACTGCACTCTCCGGCGACTCCCTCCCGTCTCTCTCTACCGTCCTTCAATCCAAGGTATTTTCCTTCCAAATTTCTTAAATTTCATCATCCATTAGCTTCAAATCATAATTTTCTTCACATACTTTTCTCAATTCGTATATTTGGTATTAAAATTTCCCATTTTCGCCCAAAGTCATTACCTCTTCAAATTTTTCTACCAAAATGAGTGAAATTGGCTCTGATGTTCAAACCAATGCTTAACCCAATGTTCAAGATGGGTTCAAGGCTTTCGCCGACCCACATATCATTGAGGGGAGGACCCTAAAACAAGATGACATCCCGGTTCCCGTTCTTGAACTCATTCAAGAACAAGGTTGGAGTTTCTTTCTTCAACTCCAAGCCCCCGTTTACCCGGAACTTGTTCATCAACTCTATTCTTCCATGAAATATCATCCGCAAGACCCTTCCATTACCGCCGTTGTAGCCGGTAAAACTTTCGGATTCAACACCCAAAATCTTTCCGAATGGTTTCACCTAGGGCGTCAAGGAGTCTCCACCTATTGCAAAAAGGGGTGGATTACGACTCACGAGACTTTAACTCCGATTCTTGCCTCCGAGTTCTAAATAACATTGCCTGATCATGTCTTTGAGGACCCACACTACATTCTTCATCGGCCAAATGTCCAAAACTTGCATGCAAATAGATTCATCCTTCTCAAAATCCTAAAAGAAAATATCATTCTCATCCTTAACAAAGATAATCAAGTCGGGGTTTATGAATGCACTCTCCTATATTGGCTCCTCACTCACAAGAAAATCAATCTCCCCTTCATGATCCTAAGACACATGCACGAATGCTCCGGTCGCCAAAACAAACCCTATGGCATGCTTCTTACCCACATCTTTTCCAAGAGGGAAATTCTTGAGGTGCGCCCTTCTCGTGTCCACTATCTTGACGCGGAGTGCCTTGGCTATTGTGGCCTTGTAAAAATTGGAGAGGAGTATTGCATGAAGAAGGAGTTTCAAAATCTTGATGAAGCGACACGAGCGGAGTATGGTCCTAGGCGTTCCATGTCATCTTTGCCTTCCACTTCACGAGCACCCCGAGCCGTAGCTGAAGAAAATGCAAACACAGAGCTCCCCGTTCGTTCTCCTCGGGTCAAACGCTCAAATTCGGTGTCTCATGCTTACTCGGACTTTCTCTTGCATCGTCACTCCCACATGGCCTCCACTTCAAAAAATCCTTTCAAGAAGTTCAAGAAATTCATTCTCGAGACCGTGGTGGCTCCAATGAGGAAACTTCAGGAAAGCCTCGATGACCTCTCGGATCGGATAAAGAAGATGGAAGACCGTGAGAATCACCAAAAACAAAATGAGGATCATGCTTCTAGACGTCGTCACTAAGTGTTGAGCATTTGACAATATGATCAAACATTATGTATTTTGCCTAAGTTTTAAAACTCTTTGTCATGTTTATGTTTCAAACTCTTATTTATGCACTTGTATGACTCAAACTCCTTTGTTATGATTATGCTTATGATTTTCTTGCTTATGGTTTGACGATGCTTGATGCTTATAATTGTTGCCTTGATAAATGCCTATGTGTTGAAATTGATATTTTGGTACCCCGCCTTTTTGAATGTTGCCAAAAGGGGGAGAAATATTAGGCTTTCATATGCATACATTTAGGGGGAGTTTTTTTCAAAATATCAGGTGCATCAACTTAGGGGGAGTTTTAAAATCAATATATGCTTTTCAAGATATGTTTGTGCGTTTGATTATTATATTCGAAAGCCTTATTTGTCAACATCAAAAAGGGGGAGATTGTTGGCCTTGAATGCCGTACCCCGTAACCGTTTTGATGTGCCAAATAAGTCTTCCAAATGCTACTACCATCATTTGCAGGAAGAAAACAAACGCCAAACCTCTATTAGCTTGTTTAGCATCACCGAGATATACTCCTACGAGTTTAGAAATTGTTGTGTAAAGGTAACGATATATTTTAATGATATACTTATGCCCTTTCACTCAAAAATTATTTCTAAAATGTCAAAAATATTCTTAGTTGGGGTTATTTTGAAAACGTAACACGAAAAACGAGTTTTGGAAAAATTGCAAAGGTCAAACGGTACCTAGCTACCGGGGACACGACACCAGGGTACCGCCGGTAGCCAAGTGAACGTACCGCTGTACGCTTCACTTGAGAAGTACACGGTACCCCCCCTACCGTGTCACGGTACCTGGGTACCGACGGTAGGGAACGACGGTTGGCCCAACCCGTCCTAACTAGGTACCGCCAGAGGCGAAACCAATTTTTGACCTATACGGTACCCCCAAACGGTAGGCTGTACCGTGCTCACGGTACCTAGGTACCGGACGGTACTGACCCTATCGTGAAGGGTACCGTATCCGTTGTAATCACTGTAGCAAATTGCCAATTTAAATTCAAATCACCCCTAATCACTTCCTAACGGCATTTAAGGTTAAAAATTCATATTTTAACATTCCAAACTCCTATATAAACCCCCTCTAAGTCTCATTTTAATAACAACAACTTGCCAATTAAATCTAAAGCCTCTTTCTCTATTCTTGAGTGTTCTAAAAGCTTTGTTCTTATTTTTCTTACTCTTTTGAGTAAAAAGCTTTCATTATTTTTATACACTCACACACAAGGGCATTTGTAATTCATTATTTTATGTCTTGCCTATAGGCTTTTGTTGTTGTTGATTTAATCTTTTGTTCTTCTCCTACCCAACTCATATTTATTATTATTTTGGTAGAGAAGCAACATCAATCTTTTATTAATTTGTAAAAGGTGTGGATAGCCTTTAAATCCTCATTTTAAGGTTGAAGATGACTTCAAAATCTTCGGTTGTAAATGGTTGAGATAGCCGTAGTAAAATCTCATTTGCTTATTGGCAAGGGTTGTTTGCCAAACCTCGTTTGAGTATTCTTAGTGAAGCCAAACAAGTTAGTGGAGGTTAAATCTTTGAGGAGGAGCCTCGAGGTATTGGAGTAGGGAGTTCCCGAACCAGTATAAAATCGCTTGTGTCGTATTTTTATCTCTTATACTTTTCTTGCTCTTTTTCCGCTACTACTTTGCGCATAAGTTTTTGTTTTTACGAAAAACTTGCAAACACCCTAATTCACCCTTCTCTTAGGGTGTAAACCGACTTTCAAGTGAGCCCTAGAGGCAAACTTATGATTCCATATCTATATTATATCAAGAACAATAGGCCCTAAAGATTTTTTAAGTCGTCTCGTGTGGTTTAAACATAGATTTAGTCCATAAAGTAGGTGTTCTAGTAACATAGATGAGAACTACGACGATCTGATAATGAGGCTGTTACAAACATAGAGACTACGTCTAAAATATCCTTAGTCGAATATTATGATAATACAGACATCATAATATATCAAGACTAATACGTATGAGATGAGATAGTTGCGTCTTATAGGCTATAGATAAGGTGTTATCTGAATCTATACGTAGGCAAACATATTGGATATATTGCTAGAATGACCCTCTGTGAGAATAATATATGGGTTTAACTTAAAGTGTTAATATTATTCTCATGCAACCATTAGTTTAACTATCCTTCGACTTGAAGTCATTACGATCTTTGGTAAGTTGAGTTACATACTTTGAAGCATGATTTATGCCATCTGAAATATTGGTGGATGTACAATTATGTTTTGGGTATGCAATTAAAGTTAAGTGAAGATGTGAATGACGTAGATAGAATTTATCCCTTCTTTAATGAAGTATAATATCTTAGGGCCCACTGATCAATGTGACTTGGGAAGTGCATGCCCATGCCCAAATAAATGTGTTATTTGAATCCTACAAGTCAATCAAAGAATTAGTAAACCATCGATTTAATTCTAACAAGGTTACACACCCCATATCTTGTGTTAAATCAAGATATTAGTGATAAAGGGATAATGGTTATACAAATAAGTTGTGTCGTTGAAGGATTTGTTCCATGAGATTTATATCTATAATTTGGGAGTGATAATGTCTTGTTAGATACAGCTTATCACTTGTAGTATTTAATAAATACTATGCCCAATTGTACAGGTACCTAGAATAGGACCCACACATAGAACATATGAAAGTGTAGAATATTTAAGTGGAGTAGAGTTGCATTTTATATATATGTATATTGTGCATATTGTATTGTGTGACAATATGATTAGATACACAAACATATATACAAATAGATATTTGGACATTTTATCTATGTGATAATTAAGTATGTCAAATATAATTAATAACAATATATATGTTTGTGTATCTAATCATAAATAATAAATTGTTTATTATTATTATTATTATTATTATTGAGGCCCAAGAATATATATATATATATATATATATATATATATATATATATATATATATATATATATATATATATATATATTGATATGTACAAATGTCTTTTGATGTTCTCCATGTCCTTTGATTATCCCATTAAGTAAGACCTTTGATTTTCCCCTTTGTAAGCCTATATATAGGGGCTCCATATGTTGAAATGTGATATCCTTCTCTTTAGTCTCTCATTGCATTCCTTCTCCTTTGATTCTCCATTGCACTTTGATCTTTCATTTGTGTTCTTATCAAGGTATATCTCTATCATTTGTTCATAACAATATTTCTATTATCTTTATTTTTAACATATATTTGATATTTGGACATTTTAATTATATGATAATTAAGTTTGTCAAATATTATTTAAGGAAGAAAATATAACATTGTTATATTTATATATATAGATGTGTGTGTGTGTGTGTGTATACACACACACACACACCAAGTCAAATTTTGACTCCAAAGTCAAAATTAACTTGTGGGGTGCAATTGAAGGAGGTGGGGTGTGTGTTCGGGTCGGGGCAGGGTGGGGGGGGTTTATCGGGGGCGTAGGAACCGTCAATTTTACGAACGGAGTACCGGAGCGCCCCAGGGTCATCCCATGACAGTGTCGGGCAATGTCATGCGAACCTTGTCGATATATATAATGCAACTTTACTCCACTTAAATATTTTACACTTTCATATGTTCTATGTGTTTGACCCTATTCTAGGTGCCTACAATTCCTTCAACGACACATCTTTTTTGTATAACCCTTATCCCTTTATCACTTATATCTTGATTTAACACAAGGTATGGGGTGTGTCATCTTGTTAGAGTTAAATCGATGATTTACTGATTTGTTTATTGACTTGTGGGATTCAAATTATATATTTATTTGGGCATGGCCATGCACTTCCCAAATCACATCAATCAGCGGGCCTAAAAATATTATATACTACCTCCGTCCCATTGTCTTTGTCCACATTTGACTTTTGAAACTGTTCATCTAAGCACTTTGACTCATCAAATTCTCTTAATGTGTAAGCCTAAAAATAGTCATGTGTGATCTTGTTTGATTCGTCTTAACATATAGATTATTAATATATAATTTTTATAATTTTTTAATATACAAATTACAAGATAAAATGGATTAAAGAAGTGCATTGGATGGTGTGCCAAAAGGTAAGTGGACAAACACAGTGGGACGGAGGGAGTACTTCATTAAAGAAGGGATAAATTCTATCTACGTCATTCACATCTTCACTTAAGTTTCATTGCATGCATACCCAAAAATAATTGTACATCCACCAAGATTTCAGATGGCATAAATCATGCTTCAAAGTATGTAACTCAACTTACCAAATTTTGTAATGACTTCAAGTCGAAGGATAGTTATACTAATGGTCACATGAGAATAATATTAACACTTTAACTTAAACCCATATATTATTCTCATAGCGGGTCAATCCAGCAATATGTCCAATATATTTGCCTACGTATAGATTCAGATACACTTTATCTATAGCCTATGAGACGCAATTATCTCATCTCATACGTATTAGTCTTGATATATTATGATGTCTGTATTATAATAATATTCGACTAAGGACATTATCATTTTGTTACCATTTTGTCATTATCAAAACCTAAAAGACAATGGGCAAAGGACATTGCAAAAATATATATTCATGATAGCACATTGTCCAACAATTTCCCCCTTTTTGATAATGACAAACCCATTAGGAGATATGCATCATACAAGGCTAGTTCCCCCTCAAGCATTGCATTATAAAATAAACAAATACATACAAATCCCTACTATGTTCCCCATTAAGATATGCACAAATACAATTCCCCCTGAATATATGCATATCTACACCATCTTCCCCCTTTTGACATTATCAAATAGAGATGGCAAAAAGATATATGCTCATGCAAATAGATATCAAAAAAACAAATAATATCAAACTGTCCAACTAAAATATAAATCAACATTAGTTGGAATTAATAAAGTGAATCAACTTCCCCCTTAATTGATGCTTCACCCAATTATGTGCTTGGCGCATCTACTT